AAATATTCCTTGTGACATGCTCACTCTAATTTCAAGTTGATCCAAATAGATATGATTGGTGATCAAATCATTCGACTCTTTTACCGATTTAAATGTTAAAGGGGTTAAGCCACCGACATAGTTCTTATCGGGTCTTCCTATATATTTTTGACCGCTAATTCCCTTATATAAATCTCTATTGGATTCAAACCCAACTGCACATCCAACAATTATAATATATATATATATATATATATATATATATATATATATATATAAGGAGGATATTACCAATCATTTACCATCCATCACGTGTTCTCTGTATGACTTTCAAGTTGAAAGAAAAAGACAAATGCTATTCATCACTAGACCACTCGTATGAACAAGGGTCCAAGACATATGATTATAAGTTGTCTCATCCTTATCGCCCATATAGAGAAAAAGTCAAGAAGAGATTGTTAGGGGCGATTGAGGGCAACATCCATAAAATATTTTGCTCATTTATTAGGGGCGATGATACTTAATCATGATCCCGAATTCGATAATCATTTAAAGCATTATAAAAAGGGCTCCTAAATATTCCTTGTGACATGCTTGCTCTAATTTCAAGTTGATCCAAATAGATATGATTGGTGATCAAATCATTCGACTCTTTTATCGATTTAAATGTTGAAGGGGTTAAGCCACCGACATAGTTCTTACCGGGTCTTACTATATATTTTTGACATATATAAAAGGAGGATATTACCAATCATTTACCATCCGTCACATGTTCTCTGCATGACTTTCAAGTTGAAAGAAAAAGACAAAGGCTATTCATCACTAGACCACTCGTATGAACAAGGGTCCAAGACAGATGATTGTAAGTTGTCTCATCCTTATCGCCCATATAGAGAAAAAGTCAAGAAGAGATTGTTAGGGGCGATTGAGGGCAACATCCATAAAATATTTTGCTCATTTATGATTATATATAAAAGCATATTTTTTAGCATAGTGGAAGAGGAGGGATCATTTTTTACCTTTCCCATTCATATGCACCTATCTAGGGTTATTAACTCCAGTATCGAATGGATCGGGTCAAGAAACATCTCTCGATCTTAGCCTTTATGTAGGTGGCACATCGGAAGCTCAATGTTTTTACATCAGAGACATATTGGACAACCCTGCGTATGCACAATTGGATTACGTCAAGTTGACCAAGACGTCAATGATATCTTCCCATAATAGGATCCGATATCATAAGAATGCCCACCCATCAATCCCCTCAATGAACACTTGAGCGATGAGACTTTGCCCCAAACCCATAGTACTTTTATCCGAGGAGAGATAACAATAACCCTTTCGCGCACATTGGTGTATTCACCTTAGCATAGATACCGATGCAATACTAGTGCCTATTCAATGACCCGATTGTCTCATCCCCAAGGATGGCCCCAAGCCACCTACTCATCCATGTCAAGTTGTTCTTAAACTTCACTCAAGAAATACATATACTAATAAGCATTATATAAGTCATCACTCTGCTTTTGCTCTAGTTGGTCCAATAAGCGGAACCACCAACTCAGTCATAGACCTCAACTCCACCACCATCGACATCTGTCGAGATTCCTTGACCTGACGTGGTGCTGACATCCCAAGAGCGCCCGAGACCTATTAAACCGTTAGTCGATGAGGCACTTCGATCCTCAATTATAGAATTCAGTAGACTGCATCACTCTTAGTTTGCCTCCTCTAAATTCAAGGCCGAATCAGTAGACTCGATGAGGGATTCCTTATGGATCTAATTCAGGCAAATATATCGACGCTTGGAGGAGATTCGATGAGAGTTCTATGGCCAAAAGAAGAAGCATTGATCAACTCCACCTCAGGTCAATTATCGTTCACTTAAAAAATCTAGGAGGAATCAATTCCAAAGAATTTTCATCTCCCATCCTTGGAAACATTTGATGATAATGCTGATCTGATGGAGTACTTTATAGCTTTCCATACTCATATGTTATTATATAATACCTCGGATGCTCTAATGTGCCATGCCTTTCTCACTATCATTAAGAGGTCAAGCATGAGAATGATACGCTCGTCTAATGCTAGTGTCCATCTACTCTTTCACCAAGCCAGCAAGGGAGTTCAAACTTTACTTTCTCAAGTACGCATGCCCTCGGCCTTCAATGGTAACACTCCTCAGACTTAGGTAGTGAGAGGAAGAAACATTCACAAACTTCGTTGTATAAGTCATTAATGAGATCCGAGGCACGTAGTAGATATTTATTCATCACTCATAATATAGACCTTCATAATGAGGCTCAGGCCCTCTCATCTCTTTCAGTTGTTGATAGAAAGACCACTAGCAATTATACTCGAGGTACTTCAAAGGGCCAATCAACACATTGTTATCGTGGCAACAGTCTCGGGCAAGCATAAGAAGTCACACAAGAGGCCAAAGCATGAACAGCCACAATCAACCCCGATCTTGAAATCATCACGATGGAGGAAAAATGAGCAACCCGAGTACCTCACCCAACATCCGAGCTGACCCCTCTAAATATGATTAAAATTATAGTTTTCCTATAGATAAAGGAGAAGAGTCTCTTAAGGGACTCCTCACCCAATGAAGACCTTGTTAATGAAAAGAGACAAGTCCAAGTACTATTGATTTCATCGAGATTATAACCACAACACTAAAGATTATCATGATATAAAATAACAGATTGAAGAGCTCATACGATAGAGACATCTTGAGTAGTTTATCTGAAAGCACTAAGAACCCTCACCTTGACCTCATGGGCTAGAGCAAAGGTAAATTGATATCATCATTAGTGGACCGATCTCAAAGGCAAAAGAAGAGACCACCACTTTGTAGTTCATATAATTGCTTCCTGAGCTTTGCCAACTCTAGAGGGTCTATACAGTATGGTGATATCGTTGGAGGCCTAACTCTTGACTCCAACTCAATGTGATGATCTACACCTCTATGCAGTGGTAGAGTTTTTGGCAACTCAAGTAGCATGACGTTTGTGAACTCCTTCAAAATGTTCGACACTATAGTAGATTTATGAATGGCCTCCACATCAAGTGGCTCCAGCTTCACAATAGCTACAGAAGTTAATTCACCTTTTTATACCCCCTTATTCAATTGTAATGCTGATATTTATTATGGGTCCTTAATTTGTCCTCGAGAAACCAGAATCACATAGGAGTTATCACCTCCCATTAGGTATAGGGAGTTTAGGAACGACATTGGCACCAACTTCGCCATATATATGAACTCTATTTCGAGAATTACTTGGAAGCCATCAAGTGGCACCGACATCATATTTGTGCTTTCGCTCCGTATCTCGATCTTGATGAGTATCCCCTTTGCTAACTCGAAGACACGCTTAGCCTTCGAGTTCACCACCTTCATCCAACTTGAGTTCTTCTTCAAGTTCAGCCCAAATCGCCTTGCTTCTCGGTCGGTAATGGAATTGTGGGTAGCACCCGTGTCCACCTTCGCATGGGTTATTCAGTTATTTAGCTTGATGTCCATATATATCAGCTCACTACTCTTTGCTTTCTGTGACTTCATCTTTATGTTCTCCCTCACTTTACCCCACAACGCATTCAATAAACGTATTGCTCCTATCCGAGGTTCTTACGACTTCTCATCATCGCTATTAGATTTCGAACTACTTGAACTAAGGACAATGGCCTTGCTTTTATTCGATTTAGAAGGGTGGATTGATATTATTAAGGTATTTAGTACTTACTTTTATGGGCACTCTCTCACCATATGCAGTCCTTCGTACAAGAAGCATATGCTGGGTTTAGGTTTTGTTGCATTGCCTTTTGAGTTTGGCCCTTTGTGGAAACTCCTTTTCTTTTGCTTGCCTCCAAACTCCTTCCCTTACGAATATTTGGGTGGGTGATTTCTTGGAGATTATTTCTTCTTCCGTAGGTCTTCCGAGGAAACAAAGTCGATAACTTTTCTTCCCCAAGCCTTCCAAGGAAATAAAGTGAGCCTTTCGATGACTATGATTGCCCAAATCACATTAATGACATTCCTTCGATGTAGTTCCTATTATGCCCATAGCCTTAGGCCATCAAGGAAGCTAAACAACTTGTCTTTCTTGAACTTTTCTTGTATATCCAGCATCAGTGTAGAAAATTACTTCACATAGTCCCGAATAGAAGTACTTTGGTAGAGTTGTCTTAACTTTCTTCTTGTGATGAACTCTATGTTATTGGGTAGGAACTAGGTTCTCAACTCATGCTTTAAGTCCTCATATGTGTCAACTTAACACCAACCTTATTGGATCTCTTCCCAATGTATTCGTCGTTAAAGTTTTGCATCCTAATTCAGATACATGATTGCTATCGAAACTTTGATTTTTTTTAGAATCGGGCCTTGTAACTTGGAAGTACATTTTCATGTCAAATAGGAAATTCTCAAGCTCTTTCGTATCCTAGGCACCTCTGTAACAATGTGGCTCAGGTGACCTAAAGTTTGTGGTGGAGTAAAACTAGTGTTACTCCCTCTCGCATTAAGAGCCCTTGTGAGCAATGTAACCCTAGACATGAGTTCCACCATGACTTCATGTAGATGTTGCATGGAGTCTTTGGTGTCTTCTGTCAATCGATTGGTTAGGGACTCTACCTTATCAATCTAAGATTATACTTCTTCTTATGAGTTCTCTATCCTAAAAAGTCTTTGTACGTCTTGGTTGAGTTCCTCTAAACTTACTTTAAGAATATCGAAATAGATTTTCTAACTATCTATATGACTTTTTTTTTTTTTGGGTTGACGATCTTAAAAATATCTTAGATAATCTTATATATATATATATATATATATATATATATTACTTGTAAGTAAGTTGATCGGATCCGTCCAAAATTATTCAAGGGCAATGGCTTATCAGTTGATTTGGCTAAAACATTCGAGTGGTTGAGATCAAAGGGAGCGTAGAATTAACGGTTTTGATGAAGCCTCTATAATTTCTTTATACAGCTCAGTCTGCACAGTGTTTCGTTCGTCCTTTTTCCACCCACGAAAAAGCAAACCACCGACCTCTTTCCCCTCGGTCTCTCAGAACGAAGTAGGAAGAGAAGAACGAGCTGCTTCGTCGCCGCCCGATCATGATCTCCGACCCAGATCGTCCCGTTGCGGGATCCTCTCCTCGATCGCTAGCGAGGCAACGATCCGTTCATGATATCTTCGGAAGTGGAATCGGTAAGTCCCGCAGATGCAGATTGCCATCTCTCTTGCTTTCTTTTCTTGTTTTGCTTTCGCTTCCTGGGAAACCCGATTCTTTGTCTTCATCGGTTGCTTCGATCCGATCATCAAGCTTCTGCATCGGGACTGTTCTCCCAAATTCCCAGAGTTGCTGTAGAGTGTAGTGGGCAGCTGCAACTCTTGTTTTCTGATGAAGTTTATGAGAACATAAAGCTATGCTTTTTTATGTCTATTGTTCGTCTCCTCCGTTTTAATTTGTCTCTATCAGCCTTTAAATCCTCAGAACTTGGGCGAACCTTGCCCTATTCCTGCAAATATTCCTCGGTTTGGGTTTGTGGAGAGAGTCAATATCAGAATTGGGGATGGAATTAGAATAGCCAGCTGCTTTTCTAGCTAATAATGCATGTATCATGATCAGTGGAATAACTGGAACTGCGATTGACAGTTGCGGATGTGATCCTTTGGAGGAGAAAGGATGTAACAATAGGGATACTTGTTGGTGCACTGGCTTCTTGGGTGGTCTTTGAAGCAGCCGGATATACTCTGCTGTCTCTTGTTTCAAACGTTCTGCTGCTGCTGATTTGTGTCCTCTTTGCATGGGCGAAGGCTGCGGGAATCCTAAACAGGTAAACCTACTCTTTCGACTGTAGGACTTCGTTTGATTCACCTCATTATGTTCTTGTAGCTTTTGAGGATTAGAAAGCAGTTTATAGATTAAATGCAGAAATTAGCTGTTCTTTTCTATATGATCTGAATTCTGATATAAAAAGCACTTTGCGATCATCTTTGTAAGTTCTATAAGACTGTAGGATTGTTGTTAGCAGGTTTTGTTCTCTGGCGAGTTCATCCAACAGTCACTCTTAATTAATTGGTTAGGAATGACCCCAACCAACTCTGAAATAACTCTCAGTGTCCCTCATTTGTCGTCCTGGTGGAAGATCGACCGCAACAAGCGAGAATAAATTTGATGACCAAATTACTTCATTACATCAACACTTATGATTTTTGGAAACCAAAGGATGTACATGCTTGAAACCGAAACAAAGTAGGCTGATCTGAATCCCTGATGATTTTTGTCAAAGAACTTAACCAAGTATGATCTCACTACTTCCAATATCAGAATAACCAAACACAATAACCTACCAACCAGCTGATCCAATTCAAATCGAGTTTCCTCAATTTTACTCTGAGAACAACAAATCTGTTAATCAACAGGAAGATTGAAATGAAGGGAAAAGAAAAGCATCATCTCTAGAGTACAAAAAAAAAAGGTTAATTATTTGTGCGCGAGAAGTACAGCATATGATTTCCATTTTGAAGTCGAAACAAATTTGCTAACCAGCTGTTTTTCACTTGTTATTTGAGACTTAGGTGCTTTGATCCGAATATAGATTTGCTAGTTGCATTTCTCGTCCATTCGTATCGTGATCTCCATTTATTTGCTGACATGAAAGCAGGCCTCCTCCACCCATACCAGAGATGCACCTCTCAGAAGAAATGACACATGAAGCTGCAGTTTTTGTTCGATTCCACATGAACATGGTCCTGTCTGCTTTCAATGATATTGTGCAAGGAAAAGACTCGAAACTGTTCTATACGATAGCTCTATGGTTATGGCTGATCTCTTTTGTTGGTGGTTCGACTGATATCCTTACTTTGGGTTACACAAGTAAGTGCTCACGGCACTAGATGCCTCTAAATCTTTGAGAGAATGTTTTAGGAGAATTACTAAACATGGATTACTGTTACAAAGTGCTGTGTGTGAGGTGGTCTTAGTTTTAAATTGAAACCTCATGCAGTTCCCTAGTAAACTGCAAATTTGAGAGATGGAGAGTGGTTCTTAATGGTCCAATGAAGTGATGGCAATCTGGTTTTCATCATTTTATCATGACTCATGAAATGTAATGCCAGGGCATGTTCAAATACATTAATTTCTTCTGCAAATTATTGAGCTTGCTGATTGGTATTAACTTCAATATCGTTCTTTTTCTTCCTAACAGGCGTCGTAGTCATGCTAACAGTTCCGGCGCTGTACGAGAAGCACGAAGATGGCCTCGACAGACTCACGAAGTTTGCCTGTAAGGAGGTGCAGATGTACGAGAGGATCTACTCAGAGTGTCTCGGCAAATACTTCACCAAAGCTAAGAAGTGGGCTTTGGAAAAGAAAAAACTACTCACTGATGTATGATTATATTAGGGAATTTTGATTCAAGATTTCCCCATTTAGCACCTTATCAAGGAGGGTTTGAGTTTAAGTCTGTAGCATCGGAACAAACTGGCCTTCCCAGGAAGGATTTTAATGGATTCCATTTTAGGGGTGAAAGCTATGCATCCATATCTTTGGCAGGGAGCAAATTGTTGTAGAACTAGAAATTTGATGGGGTTTCAAGAACAAACTCATCCGATGTAAACAAATAGAGAGCCCTTTTTGCCTTCAAAATTTCATGAAAATGAAGTGAGTATTGCAAACGAACATGAAATGTGGATTACAAGTCGATTGGTGCACTGAAAGAGAGCAAGCCCTTCGACCAAAAGCTAATCATAGTCTTCGATGGCGAGGAGGAAAGCTTGAAGTGTACATTATTAGTGCATGTGCTACAAGCCTGGATCTTCGGTACCCAAATCACTGCCATGTCATATCGTACCAATTAAATGCGAGACATCAAGATTTGTTCTCGAGAAGGATGCCAAGAAAAAGGTAAAAAGGTCCCAACCTCGTTGACTCTTTCCCCAAATGTCGGCTTTAATTTCAATGTCGAATCAATGTGCTGTGCTGTGCTGTGCTGTGCTGTGCTGTGCAGCAGGTACTTCACTTCACTCGAGTTGTGTGAATTGATGCTCATTCATGTTTGGGTCAAACAAAAATCATTATGAAGATAAAAGCAAAATGAAATGCTCATATTAATAAAAGCAAGAACAGAGTCAACTCTGGTAGCAGCAAAACAAAGAACTGTGGCTGTAGAGAGACTATGTACCAGATCAGTATACGATTCACCACCACATCACAAGGCTGAAGTGGCAAGTCATGGCATTCGAGCAAAATAGGTTGGATCAAAACAAGTACTTGAGATTGTATCAAGCCATGCAAGTTGCTAGTGAAAATGAGCAATGCATTATTGTTCTCCACATTAGCAGCTGGATTTATGCACAGCAGCAATGAATAGATGTTAAGAAATATTGAGAATGATGCAAAATTGTAAGGATTAGATCATGCAAAGCCGAATGATCCAAGTAGAATTGTCGTCTCAAGCAGGGGTTAGATTAAATCCAAACACTTATCATCTACCAGAAAACAATTCTTTGTACTGTTTTCCTCAACTTGTAATCTATCCGCCATCCATGCCAAAACATGGAGGGTTAATACATTGGAAGAATCTTTTTGGTCTTCCAATATCGATAGGTCGATTGTTTTGCATACTTCGGTCTGGAGATGCATATGCACTACCACACCAAGATCATCAGGTCTAACAAAATATTGCACGAAACAGCTGACTTCTATTACAGGGATAAACAGAGTGCAAATGCAACAGTTAATTTCTTGATGGAGATCATAGCATTCGATGAAGTTTGCTACAAAAGCTACAGTTTCCATCAAACAGACCAACATGGAAAGTTCATCATACCATAGAAGCACAAATGTACACAAGCCAGAAGACATTCTTACCTTCCAAATGCCTAATTCTTACTTAACGTTGTCGAGACACGTATCTCCAGCCGATACGATCTTTCCATATGCAACACCCACAGGAGACTCTACGGGAGCCACCGGACGCCGAGCGGCGAGCACAGCCCACACGAGCATCACGAACAACGCCAGCATTGCACCGCAAGCAGCAGCAAACACCATCGCCATGAAAACCCCCCAAGGAGAGGCCTTCCTTAGATGGACAGAAGGGCTCTCGGTGGACCGCACAAGGAATGAATCGGGATTCAGAGGCTCCGAGTGCATCAGATACGGAGCTCCGTGCTTCACTGCAAAATTCCACGAGTATATACTGCTGGTGTGAGTTGAATTCCCACTGGAAAAGCTGATGCCCACAAACACTGCCTCCCGCCACAGAACATTAGACAGATCGATCGAGTAAGAGATGGAAGAGTTCCTCGGCCTTGGATCCCTGGCTTGGCTCAGCCTCACCTCTATCCTCTTCGATTCGCCGTCGTAGTCAATCCAAGAACGCAGCTTCTCTCCGCTGTTCAGAATCAGACCAACTTCAGTAAGGTCGATGCTCCTCGTCAATGTTTCTCCCTCGACATCGATTTCGATGAAGCTTCCACCTAACTCACCAAGTTTCTCGACGTTGAACCTCCCAAACCTCACTGCAACATCACCGGTCGAGCGCCCAAGCCGATCCCTTTCTGCTGACACCAGAGGAAGACCGCTCGGTGACAAGAAGAAGGCTAGGGCACCACCGTCGCCCCGGGAGATGGAGAAAGAGAAGGAGGAGGAAAACCCAGGCTTGGTCCCCAAGAATCTGATGGCTTTCCTGTACGCGATCCGCCCTGAGCTCGAGTACGCCGGCTGCGCGATCCTGACCGCGGAGCCACTCATCTCGGCGTCCCCGTAGAGGGCGAAATCGGAGTCAAAGCTCCGATTTTTCTCCAATCCATCAAAAGAGAAGCAGAAATCGTGGTCCTTGTCAGCCGCTTCGCAATTTCTATCGGACAAGGAGACGACGAAGAGAAAGACGACGACGACGACGAAGGTGGAGGCCGGAGACGGCATCGCCAGCGCAAAGATCTGGCAGCCTAGGGGTAAGTCCCCTTTCAAAGCTCACAGTGTTCTTCTTCCATGGTACGAAAGCCCCAATTCCAGAAAATGCTCTAGTGGTGGATCTGCGGGTGGGTAAGAGGTAGGGTTAGGGCTCGTGCTTAAGAGAAAGGGGCATTAATGGCGTGCGAGACTGGACAGAGCCCAAGAAGAATCTCTGTTGGTTGAAAAGAAAGAGTATCGACGCTGATGAGACTGGACATCCGTCTGATTTCTCACTTGAACAGATGGACGGACGGATGCTGAGTACCGTTGAACTTTTATCTTTTCGCACTATAAAATCCCGATCCTGCTATACCGTCTCCGGACGTGGTTACCATCGTGGGACCCATCCATTTGCCAATAGAAATGCAGCGTTTAACGCGCCTCCCGGTCTCCTTACCGCTTCGCCACCTCTTAACATTTCTAGCTTTCGATGCCACGCTGCTGCCAGCCAACGGGACTGCTGGGCGAGCTGGTCCTCCTCCTTTCCTGCTCGAAGTCGCGGCTCTGCGTCTCGCAGTGTTGCGGGAATTCATGTGATCTCATTGGAGGAGGAGGCACAACGGTGGTAGCCGAAGCTGGTTTCATAATCGTGCGCGTCTCGTTGTTGCTGTTCAGGTCCACGCCAAATGCAAAAGAAAAGAATACAAGGAACAAACAGTGTTCCTCGTTATTTCCACGAATGGACTACAACAGCAGGTGAATGACCACGAGTGGACGACAACTTGTTATTTCCCTGCTCGCTGTATATAACGAGCAGGTTTGGTTATGGATGCTTTCACATGCGATAATGCTGGATCAGTCGCGGTGGGATCCGCATTTCGTCGAATAGTTTATGCGCATGCACCGGACATTTGATGCTCAATCTCATCAAATGAATAGTTATCGTGCAAGATTTTTACAAGCACGATGAGATTCATTTGATATATGATGTGAAAATAAAATATTAAATGATAGATCGGGTCCAACAATCCACTAAGGCAATATGAGACCACCACACAATTAAGAACACACATGAACGCAACACGGCACATTAATGATGCATACAAGGTATATATATATGTATATATATATATATATATATATATATATATATAGAGAGAGAGAGAGAGAGAGAGAGAGAGAGAGACGCCGTGCCCTATATAAGAACTCGTGTAGCGGCCTTCCTCCAAAACCTGAGCACATCACGCATCGAATGACCTCCTCCGAGCCTGATTGAAACCCCCTTCCCCTTCCCGCCCTCGCTTCCCAGGATGCGACTCGATCTCCGATCTCGATGTAGCAAGAATTGTGGCGGTGGAGGAAGGGGTTGAGATGGAAGCCGGCGGCAGCAGGGCAATCCCTTCCGGCGGCAGCCTCCTTTGCTTTTCCTTTTCACTGATCAATAGCCTGAGCAATAGATTACAACTCTATATTTACCTTTAACAAGATCCAGAAGAAGACTTGATCCACACTGCAGCCATCCAGCTTTAAGATAAAGATAAGGATTCTATTGCTACAGAAGCCATCCAGCCTGGACGTATCCTCAAGCACCCAGCGTGTAGAATCTGTCACAGCAACAAACGCAAGCCTTAGTCACCACTTTCATCACGATCATATTCTGCCGGCCGTACCGATCTACTCCCAAGAACATCTCAGAACCCAAAGAAACGGATCAAATCTCCATCCAGAAAAAAGAAGACAGAACGGACCTTAACAAGTTGCTGCGTCGGAAGCACGACTATCCGAAACGTGAGCCAGCGGGAATTGCCGTTTCAAGGGTTTTGTCGGCGCCATCAAGAAAACGGCGAGCTGTATGAGCCTTGCATGCCGCTACGGCGATTGCTTCCTCGAAGATCGGCTCCCAAGAACATCTTAAAACTCAAAAGCACTCAATAACGGACACAATCCTAATCAAGAAATGAAAGGGAGATAGTAATTAGATCGAGAAGCCACCGTCGCGAGAGCTCGACGAGCTGAGACCTTATCCGTGGGGCTTCAAGGGTTTCGTAGGGACCTTCAGGAAGTGGCCCACCGTTTCGTTACTGCATGAAAACGACATCCTTGACGATCCGCTCCCATGAACACCTCAGAATTCAAAAGAACCCAAGAAACCGACAGCGTCCCGATAAAGAAGAGGAAGATAGAACGCACCCTGCCGGCTATTGCAAGAGGTTGAACGACACGAGACATGAGCCATAGGAGACGAGTCTCGGTGACGTTTCGATGGTTTCGTTTGTCAGCGATCTACCATCGATCTGCTCCCACAAGAACATTTCAGAACCCAAGAAAGCAACCAAAGCCCACTCGAGAAAGGGGAAGAGAGAACGCACCAGATCGAGCGGCCGCCGCCATCCTAGAACTCAACGATCCGTGAAGTGAGCCATCGGAGACTAGGGTTTGTCGGGTTATCGAGAGCGTCGACGGCGCCTCCAAAGCGAGAGGGGAAATGGTAGGAAGAGGAAGAAAGGCGTCGTGGAGAAGATTTGGGCGCCGAAGAGGGGTTTTTTGAAACGGAGAGCGGAATCATAGGGGTAACAAATGCCATTAACCTCCCATATTTATAGGGCTCTCCTGCGCTCTTGTGAGTAAAATTTTGCATTTATGTCACTAAATTAATGTTTATTAACAGAAGATTAGAAGTAATTTATATATTTCATTTATTTATTTTACTTAAAATTAGTTAATATTAACCACAGTCAGAAACGAATGTGTATACGTACACAAATGGACTGCCTTAATATTGAAGGATATATATTAAAATTTATAAGGGTAAAATAATTATTTTCACCTTTTACAAGGATAAAAATGTAAAAAGCTGCGGTGTCGTGCCATCGAAGTGCTAATAACAAACCAAGAAGAGTATTCATATACTAAGGCGATTAGCTTTCGGGTCAAGAAGAAGAAGAAGAAGGAGGAGGAGGAGGAGGAGCTCTTCCCTGCCCTCTGTCATTTCGGTTCCGCACCGTGGACGTAGGTGACGCCCATCAAAACCTGGGCTCTCCGTTCTTTTCCTTGAACCACATCCCGGAACCAGGTGCGGCTCCGTCTTCCAACCCGCTCCTTATCTCCTTTCTCCTTCTGTTTCGGTTCCCGTTTCGGTTTCTCGGAATCCATGTTGATCTGTATTGTTTGGTTCGGATCGGTGGGAGATAAGGGAGCGGGAGGAAGAGGAGGAGGAGGTGAAGATGGCGCACCGAGTGGATCACGAGTACGATTACCTCTTCAAGATCGTCCTCATCGGTGATTCCGGCGTGGGGAAGTCTAACATCCTCTCCAGATTCACGCGCAACGAGTTCTGCTTGGATTCCAAGTCCACCATCGGCGTCGAATTCGCCACCAAGACCCTTCAGGTGACCTGCTTCCAATCCCTAATCCTCCTCCTCCTCTGCATGACACAAACAAATTGACTAACTTGGAGAATTCGTGTATGCCTCCTAGCAATTAGGACCGTTGGCTGACGGATGATGATGATGATGATGATGATGATGAATAGTTCGATTAGGTCTTCTTATCTTTTGAATCTTCTCAGGGTTTTGGAAAATATAGATTTTTTTTACCAATGACAAATTAGTTAATCGAAGACCCCCAAAAAGCAGAGCAACTCCAAAGCTTTTGCTCTTTTGCTTCCCGGGTCTGGTGCATGTGTATGAAACATATAGTTCCATGCTGGTGATCTGATGCATTTGCAGATCTCATAACACTTCCATAGATACCTGGCCAAATTGTCATTTGCATTTGTATTGTATGACATACCATCTTGTTCCTTTTGAACATGTCGTAAATACAAATTATTGACACTCTTCAGTCTGCTTCTTTTAATTACAGGATTAACATTTTCAATCATGACATTGTTAATGGAGATAGATACACTGTTACCTTAATTGCCATTTTCAATCGTTGACATTGTGATGGTCGCAGTTTTCATTCTGAATAGACAAGATAATACCTGCTGTCGTTCGTGATATACCGACTCCAAAACAATTTATTTTTTTCAGTGGATTTGTCGAATCATTTGAAGGAAATGAGCTAGATCGATTCTTTTTCATCATACTGCATCCTGTATGCAAATGATGAATAATGCAGATTTTCTTGTTTACGACATATGACTAGGAATGTGTGTGTTGTCAACAATTAGTTTTTAACCTCCAAAGCGAGATCACCCACTTCCTTTACTACCTTCCACCATCACAGCAAGAATCTGTGTGTCTGCCTATTAAGGTTGCAGCCATGAGGTGCTGATCATGGCGGTATGATGATATATTCATGTAACCCTTAAGCTGGTTGGCAGGATAGTTCAATACCCAAGCAAATGGAGTTTGAGATGTAAATTTCAATAGCTGGATGTGTAGTATATCACCCTTGTGATCTGCTCATCATTTCTGTTTCATCCTGAGTTCCAAACCTCCTTGATCATTGGGCTGTGAGTGAAATAGATTTAAGTTGATGCTTCACGATTCTGGAAGCACATTACTTGCATTCTAGTTGAGTGTCATGTGCATAGTTGCTGGTGTCCGTATGACACAACAAAAATGGTGTGATCTGAAATCAAGGTGATGTTTGCTTTCTTATGCTAGTAGTACCTTTTGCTCTAATTTCTGTATGTTAAATGTTAATTACAGTAATAAATCGATGTAATGAACAGGTCGAAGGGAAGACAATCAAGGCACAGATTTGGGACACGGCTGGTCAAGAGCGGTATCGAGCCATAACCAGTGCATACTACAGGGGTGCAGTGGGTGCACTCCTAGTCTATGACATAACAAAGAAGCAGACTTTTGACAGCATCCAAAGGTGGCTCCGTGAGCTCAGAGATCACGCCGATTCCAACATTGTCATCATCTTGGCTGGTAACAAGTCAGACTTGAAGCATCTTCGAGCAATTTCGCAAGATGAGGGCCGGGCATTGGCTGAGAAGGAGGGGCTTTCTTTCTTGGAGACTTCAGCACTAGAATCACTCAACGTCGACAAGGCGTTTCAGACGATTATATCAGAGATTTACCACATCATAAACAAAAAGGCACTTGCAGCCCAAGAGGCAGCAAGGACCGCAGGCCCTCCCGTTCAAGGGACAACCATCGATGTATCCGACTCTGCTGGGGGCTCAAGGTCTGCTTGTTGTTCAAGGTAGGTGATGGCCTTTCAGAAGAGTTCTTGAACACGAAACTTGTTCTGCTGTGAGGAGCTATAGAGTGCAATTGATTTGTAGATTGGCTTCCTGCTTTTCCCATTCATGTGTAGGACAAATTGTTGATTTCTTGGTATCACTTGAACTTGCTGTGGAAGACGCTTTAGAATAAGAGTCACAGATCCCCTTTTTGTGCTTTTCAACCCCATTAACTAAATTGTGGTTTCCATCGTATGTGTGTTCTCTTGTATTGTTTCGAAAAAGCGAATAGATAATGTCGCACAACAAAAGCTAAATAGAGTAGAAACAAAATGACGAGGGTGGTGTCTCAACAAAGCTCTACCAAAAGGTACGATTCGTCATTTGCAGCATCCCCAGCAAGTTGATGGAGGCTCTGGAGATACCCACTTGTGGGCATCTGTCGCAGGGGCATCAATCGAAGGGGCAATCGGTTATTGCATAAAGGTAATGATCCTCGCAACATAACAGAAGCCGATTGCGTGCGTGAACAGCTCATGCACGTGCGTGCCGAGGTTGGTTTGATTACACGCACGTTTACAATGTGCAGCGATCTACCCACACAGCACATTCACCGTACGGGGATATCAACGTCGATCAGGTTATTAACCTACGTACGGAGTTACCTTCCTCGTGTTGCACGTTGTACACGTGCGATAACAACATACTCTCGCAGTCACGTCCGGGGGGTAAGAACCCGGGCATCTATTTAAACCGCTGACGAGCACGACATGCTGGTGCTGCAAGACACTGACAATGGGGAGATCAAGTGGCAAACGAGCACCTCGAGCTCGCTGCACGACTGTTTTGTGACGCTCGACGACAGCGGGGAGTTCTTCGTGAAGCATAATCGCCGGGAGGTTCTGTGGAGGGACGGTGCAAGATCCACGTCCTTCCACCACAGACTTGTGCTCGGGTATGACGGCAAGTAGATCTGTGGAGAACGACCAAGCCGTTCAGGTAGATCTATGGGATGAAGGCATTTAAGCTAAGAATTTTGACCGTGTTGTGATGCATGGCTGTAATGAGCCATCCGTCGAATGATCATTGCAAGTCGTCTCTAATACAAATTTCGTGGACTTGAGGAACCACAACCGCAAGAATTGCAATGAGAAAACATTAACATCACCATTCCATTTGATCAAACGTTATTCCATAATTCAGTGCATAAATTTTACACAAAGCCAGTGACATCTTAGAAATGAGGAACATATCTTAGATGGTCCAACAATTTGAATCAACCTCTAAATATGCCAACTTATGTATGAAGCGACGAAATTTTAGTTCCACATCATCAGTTCTGTTTTGTTCTTGAGATGGGGAAAACATTTTCATGCCACCACTCGAATGCTTTACATGGGTATTCAAATCACACACTTAAATAAAGGTGATGGAAAATGTGCAATTGGGAATGCACCGGAGAAATTCTGCATATGCCTGCTTTCTGGTCTTGGACAAAACTTTTAATTTTTCATCTCTAGTATTGAGCTATATATAGGAAGGTTAAGGTTCAATCGGTTGGTGGCGGATCAATTGTTCGATTGCTGTACTTGCCAAATCTACCACCAACCCCAAGATCGGATAAGGTGTCCCATACCTACGGCGAAGGAAACCAAATTGTCAGAAATTAAGAAATGAAAAAAAAAATATTTCAATATGGTAGTTACTCACCTCCAATCTTCCCTTGGAGCCCCCGATCGCTAACAAGAAAGGGCTATCATCTGAGAAGGCGATAGAGAATATGGCTCCCTGGTGACATCAAATCAAATTATCACAATTGTCACTTCATGAACTTGAATAAAACATAGGAACACAACTTTGTTACTAATCAGCATATGATTTTCATTTAAAGACCAATCTGCTTATTAAAGGACACAATTTATTTTCCATGGATTTTCATATTTTGCCATTTAAAATTGTGATACTGTACAATGCAGTCATTTGAAAGATAAGCACTTTGCTACACATAATAGCATTAACATCAAACTAGCATGGGGCAGCGTATTAACATCACATGTGAATGAAAACACAGATTCAGAGAAATTAATATTGTGTGTTTTCTACAAGAATGCAGCCCAAAGCTTTATCGTATCTAATTACAAATTTCAAGATACATCAAGTCTCCTAACTACTAAACTGAAACATCACACTTACCGCCTTTGGGTTCTGAGATGCAACACATGATGGTTGATTGTTTGACAAGTCCCATAGCTTCACCTGTTTTTTCAATTGGCCATCAGCATATTATTTTATAATCTAAATTCATGAGAAATAAGGACCATCTTTTACCGTCTTGTCTGTTGATCCGGTAGCAAGAAACTGCATGAATAATATGCCAATAAGTCATCATCAACATTAATTCCTTGGAAATAAGCAAAAGAATTAATAGCAACATACATTTGGAGCTGCAGGATTATAAGAGACTGAAGAAACAGCTTTATCATGTGCATGGAGAGTGAAACTTGGCTTGGAACTGGAATCTGTATCTGATGAAGCCCGGACATCGAAACCTTGAACAGTACCATTCTCAAGACTCACCTGAAGCATATTAGACAGGTCATTCAAAAGGCACATAAGCAGCTGAAGGAGCATTGTACACCAAATAAAGTACCACTTTTTTTGTCCTAAATTGTGAATTATTTAAACATAAGTTAGACAAATCCAGAACCAGAGCAACAATATAAAAATCCTTTCTACAAATTTGATCAAGATTCTTTCACATCTAAAGCTACATTTTCATCAGTCATAGAACACAGTTTCCTTTCCGATAACTGATATCTTCCGTGATTGTGCAAAGTCCACCATCAGCTTATGCAGATAGTTATAAAGGTATCAAGAGATAGGTCATTCTGTCTGATGGTGAAGCCACCACCACCAAATATCATTTACCAGATGAGCTTTGATTGGTAAACAAAAGGGTTGGTGGGAGAACCACTAACCATATTCTGAGATTCAAAGTCTCAGACATCCCACAACTAGAAAAAGTTAATATGGTGAGGAAGAAAACTCACCACAAATGAATGTTCTGAATGTGGGTCCCATGCCAAACTCTCAACATCAGCTGTGACACACCATTCATTAGAGACCTGATTACTTGATCTCATATCCATCTGCAAATAACAGGGTATAAGAAAATTAGTTACAAGTTAAGGCCACCACTGAATGGCCAATTTACATTGACAGTACCAATTTACATGAAACTGCCAAAAAAATGTTCTTGAACATTCATTTTCAATAAGAAACTCAAAATCTAACACTTTAGACCAGAAAAAAAGAATCTGAAAACGCAAGCTTCTCAGCAAGAAAAATACTAAGAGATGGTCCATAAAGTTTAATTTGATTCTTGGAACTCGTCGGAGAACAAATTTTAAGAATTTGATGTGACTTTGATGATAAAAAGAACAAGCATTTACAAACCAGGAACTATAGAAAAACCAAATATTAGCATATTCTAGATAAACAACTTTTGGAAATCCAAAAATTGCTTATAGTGTGTTAATGTTTTGCTAGTACCCATTTGGGCTACACTGCCAACCAACCAAATATCAATAGCAACGGTGTTAGTCCTCACTTAAATATTTTCTTACATCTTGATGCAAATGCTGCTAAATGGAGCTGATTAAGTACAATGCACATAATCATGTTTTCCGCTGTCAAGCAACATTTGCAGCACACTTCACCCTGCTTGTTCCCTTTTTTTTTATGATGCAACAGATGGTCATAAAAAAAAGCACATGAAAGAAGCACTATAAATTGCCTGCAAACAAACCCAGGACAAGTAAACAATTCTTTCTTGTTATACTTATTTCTGCAATATCTATCTATATGATGGAATGAATGAGGTCATTTTATTTTTTCTAAACAAACTTAAAGAGTCATGATATGTCTGGTGGTCTTAAGCTCAAAAGTCAATATTATTTCATAAACCATCAATTCGATTTAGATTATAATTTTTCTGTCTTCTTTTTCTTGAAGTGTCTGTTGATTTTTTTTATAATATTTACTGTTTCCGAATTTAGTAGATGTAAAGATTCAAAAAAAGGAAGGCTAGTTACGCTTTCTAGCTAAAAGAGTTCCAAAGGACTCAGAATTATCATAAAAGAGAGTTTTGAACGAGGGGAAAAAATTAAAATATGCCATAATGCTATCTCATTTATTTAGCATCTAGACCCCCATCCAATTTAACAAAATCATATCATTATTAGTCTATTGCAAGGATCAACTTGCTGGAAGAACAAGGAACAGACAGAGAAATTACTACAAGTAATAAAGTGTACTTTAGCTTATTCCGCTAAGTATCTCTCTACTCTTTTCCTTTTTGTAATTTCATCTGTTACTTCTTTTCTTAACCAAACTGCTGCCAGTAACAACTAGCAGACAGTTGCTTTCATCAAGCTTACAACCCAAGCAACCAATCAACAAATAGCTAACAAGCAAGCAACTCATGAGCGACTTGGTTAATTTGCATGTGTCCTATGCACCCTATGCAATGTTATGATGGAACTGCTCTGCATCAATTAGAAACATAATCATCCCTTACCATGACTACTGATTGATCAAACGAACCACTTAGAAGAACTTCAGGAGAATGATGATTCCATGCAACTGCCTGAACCTGTAAAGTTGTGAAGTAATTATCGAACTATGTAGCAGAATGTCATTTAGTTTTGAGAAACCAAACAAAAATTATACTGTCATAAGTTACCAAACAAAGTCCACGCTACGGAAACAGAAAATACAAGACAGATTCACAGACTTAACATTTTTTTGCTTCATCAAACTAGAGGTTCATAGTATAAATAGCTAAAAGCAAGAAAGACTAGCATTTCTCAGTCAGATCAATATGTTCTAACTCTGGTTCACACAAAGGGAAAAATAGATTTTCCTCTGCCCAGACAAGGGCTGAGCATTTAAACTGATTATTTTGGGTGACTTAGATGAAGACCATTTTTGACTAGGAGCTCCAACGTACTGGAGATGCATGAAAATAGAACTCAGAATGTCTTGCCAAAGATAAGCCATGTTTCTTCCCTAAGATAATTTTAGTTTTTTTATCTGGTTGCATTTAAACCTTTACAATTATCGACCTAATTTTGGGTGTTAATTTTGTGGCACTTGTCTCAATTTAGCACAATATTGCCATTTGAAATCTCTATCAATTTATAACATGTTATTCCATTTTGTCTAACATCATTGGATCTTACACGTTCATTGAGTTTTTCTTTAATTCCTAGAATCAAAGATCATTTATTTGATATTGTGGAATGATTAAGATAAACATTGTAATTGGAATAGCATGCAATGAATTAAAGACAACCTTAAAAAAGTGTAGTATTTTTACACATGCAATTACTCAGAAATGTAGAAAGAAGAACAATCACAAGAAAAGAATAATAGCAAACCTAAAACATATAAGGAGTATTTGAGTTAAAAAAAAAACTAAGCTTTTAGTTTTATACTTTTCTTCAAGAAATTAAGTTTTGGCCACACATTAAATTCAATATTCTTCACTGCACATTATAAAAAATATTTACCTTATCTCTGTGGTGCTCCACTGTCACAGCACATTTGCCACTGACCACATCCCAAATCTTGACTGTTTTGTCAGCACTTGCACTAGCTAGAACATTCCTGAGATTTCATAAAAGAAACATTATGAAACAGATGCAATCATAGTATAAAATGAATAGCATCATCATTGAACATGCTCACCTCACTTCTTTGTTCCATGCAAGCCCAAGTACAGAGTCTCTATGGCTACCCTTCTTGTACTTCACTGATGTCTACACATGTCACATTCAAAGAACATGTAAGAACCAACAGAGTAAAAGGCTTCAGTAAAAGATCATCTTATAAGATGAAAATACATGAAGAATTGAAATCTGCATAAGATGACCTATCAAATTACAATGTAATTCATCAGAGTTTAATAGCCTAAGAATTTAGAACCTTCAAGTCCTCTCCGACAAGTGAATAACATTGTTATAGATAGTTAATCCCTCAAGTGTGCATATGATGGAAAAAAGGACATTAGGTACTTTTGAATTGCAAGGAAATACCACAAGGTAAATTACTTTAAGATTGCAAGATATGTCCCATTAATTTGTTTAATAATATGACCACATGGGGTGATTGAAGCAACTCAAGGCCATCAGCTACAGATTCATTCAAAAAAAAAAACACAAACCTTTTTCCCTTTTTTCTTCTTCTTTGAGACACCCCCCAACACTAGGAAAGGTTGAACCTCATCAATCTGTCAAAGTCATATTATACAATGTAAATAGGTTCTCGATGCTTACCAATGAACTAAAGGATCTAGACAATCAGACACAAAATAATGTCAGAATTATAGACACTCAACCAATAAGATTATGAACAGGAAATGCATACCAAATCAAGGTCCCATATCTCGATAGCTGGTTCCATGGAGCCAACAGCTATAAAGTTTCCTGCAGAAATCATGATGATGTAAAATCAAAGAACTGAGGAAGTTATTCAACAATAGTAAGACAAAGATAGTATATTACATAAGCAACAAGTGAAAGGCATGGGTCACCTTTATCACCACTTTTAAGATTACAATCAAGCCAAGCTGTACAAAGCGGAAAAGCTGGAAGGATGATATCATGATGAACATACATATTCGAATCACCATCCTCTGATTCTTCAAAGATCCAAACCTGCCATATGGTTCAAACCAAATTAAGCTTATCAAGCATGCTTGAATTTTACGAGCAGAAATTCTCACTGACAAAATTTATATGGAAATAGGATACATGCTTCAGCAACTTTGCATTGTTTTAACGGGGTGTTGACATCAAAACTACTCATGTCGGTAATTCCTACAAAAGATTTAGATAGCTTCTTCTTTCTATGCAATTTAGGCAAGAGGAGGGAAACACAAATATGAAGCGGACAGAACCAGTTCACCAAGACACCAACTACCTATAAAAGGTAGTAAAGGTCCTTTTTTTGTGGGCTTTATTTCAGCAGCGGTATTGGCTCATCCACTCCAACTATCCAGCTATCATCCAATCCAAGCACCTTACATCATAAGAGATGCTGGATTGATACAATAACATGTATGGCATATCTCATGCCTTCACAAGTCCATTACGGGAAATAGCATCATCCTTGTTTACCACAAGATGAGAAGAATGTCAAAACAGGCAAGTCCGCATGCATGCATCAAATGTTTCCTGAAGAATAACAAATATGATTTAATGTGTTTGCCAATTTCTGTATTAAAACTTGGAAGGAGAAGGCAAGAAGTCAGCAGTGCTAAAAGATACATCACATGGGTGGTAGGTGATTTTAACCTTTTTTTGGCTCCCCACAAGTGGGTTACAACTCCATATAAATGTACTATGCATTGCAGCTATTTAACAAAGGATTAAATTTTTTTATCTAAAGGAACATTTTTAGTATGGACATAAAAAAAGCAAATTGCATCAAATATATTACATGACCACAAGGTCATGCCTCTAGGTCCAGTTCAGTTGTCTCTACTTAAACAAGAAACTGTCCATGAACCACAGTAACTGGACCAATCATGAGGAACCTCATAACTAACAGCAATCATCACAATTTATTTTCTTTTATCAGAAGTTGTCCTGACTGCAAGCCCGATTATGATATTGCAGCCCAGTTCATCTCTTGCATGAATGCCAGCTTACTGCAAACCATCTTCCTTAGGTCATGTAATCAAGCATTATATCAATAAGAGGACAGCAGAAATATAGGCCAGCAAACCTGAACAGATGCAATGTTCCAACAAATCAAACCAAATGTTGTTTTCCACACAATCTATGATTTCAACAATTAGCTGTTGACTTAGTAAGTTTGGTAAATGCTTATTTTCTTCAAGGCCAAAATCACAGCTAAAGACAATCACATAAGACGAGTACTGAACAAATACAAGTAAAGGTGGAAAAAAAAATGGAGGAAGTTGACAAAATATATATTCGAAAGGTAAAGGAAAAAAAGATAAGGTTTAGATCAAGTTAAAGACATGCCTCAAGATGGCTGACTTCATCTTCATTTCGTGCACAGACTATAACTGCATCAGTTGGTTTTATGGTCATATCTTCTATCTCTTCATCATCATCGTCGTCCTAGTAAAAAAAAATTTTAAAAAAATATTACTTTTAAGACATTACAAAGAAACATACATTAGCTGTACTGATGACGAAAAACTCACATCCTTGTTTTGCAGATAAGGGTCCATCTCATTACTTTGATAGTAAATGTCCCCTAAACCAGTACTAAATAGCTCGATGCCTGAAAAGTAACAATTTTCAACAATGAACTAAAAATGTAAAATCATGATAATTAGCGGGGAAAAGTTGGTACCATCATCTTCATCATCATAATGGTCCATGTCAAGTTCCCGGAGGCCATCAGCGATATCTTGGAAATGAGAACCCTTATCCCCCTGGTCTTTCGATAAAGCCTCAGCAGTAGCTAATGCATGGGTGACTTCATCTGCATCTTTGGAATCATCAACGTCCATCTCCACTTGTTCATCTTCGTCACTGTCTCCGCTGCACAATCAACACAGGCAATCATTTGCAAGGCCGCCAACCAAAATTAATGATGCAATTTACTGTCAAGCATCACATTTTGGAACCACTGAGTGGACATGAAGAAGTCCAGCAAAAGATTTTACCTTCTTCTCAATGCTCCCGTTTTCAAAATCTCGTCAATTTCGTCTTTAGAGGGTGGCTCGGCAACCACTGGGGAGCTCTTGGATGCTCCCTTTGGGACCCAAGTCACTGCCGAAATCATTTTAGCGTGGAAACTGTGCAAAGGCAAAGGGATTCAGCAACAAAATTATTCAGAAGCACTTTTTTTCATATGTTCTTCTCAGAAAATGGTCAAGAAATAAATTTTCCCCAACTTTACTTCACAGAGAATCATGATTGGGATGCATACAGCTAAAAAGATTAGAATTAAAATGTGGGCACTCGGGATACAGTGTGTTCCATGTCGAATTGAAGAAACTACATAGGAAAATGAAAAGGTATCACCGCCCAAAAGCTTAGTATTAGAAAGACATAACTACGTCTCCTACAATCCTTTTCCGCTCACCTCGACAAGATGGACTGATGGTGGACAACAGATGAGGGGCAGACAAAGAGTCAGCGACTTGTGGAAGGAATAGCACGAAAGATGCGGCCGCTCGCCGACGTTTCAACGATGGCGATGAGGGCGACGGTGGAGTACGGCAAGATCGGGGTAAAGAGAGAGCCGACGGCTAGGGTTTCAGCAGATAAGCAACCAACTAAAGCACGTAACATCCAAATCTCAACCCGCGCACCGTAAACACGAACCCTCAACCTTTCCCCGGGATCGAGAGATCGAGATCGAGGCTTACCGACGGTTGTATGGCGGAGGGAGGGACGGAAGGAATAGGCAAGCGATTGCGACCGCAGGAGTGCGTGCGTGGCCTGCGTGGCTGCGTGCGACGGGCTTCGAGAGTTCGAGGGACAAGTTTAGGAATAGGGTTTAACTCCTGAAAACATTTCTGGTTTTAGTTCTTGGAAACGGTTCAATAATCGTTGTTTTCAGAAACAAAAACACACATCCCAGCGGCCCCCGCGAACGGAAACTTGATCATGATGCAGTGAATCTAAAACACTCAATCACGTCCACCGGCAACGAGCTTCTCTGTCGAACTGGAGGAGCTTCGACCGGGGTAGAACCGGTTCGACTCTGGTAGCGATCGAGCTGGTCCATGCCTTTTCCGGGTCCGTTTAGATCGACCAAGGGACGATTCGCCCGATTCGGTTCGACTCTGGGAAAGCTCGAGCCGGTCCATGCCGATCTGAGCTCAGCTAATGATTCGGGCGACTCGGAATCGCGCGAACCGTGTGACCGGTTGAAGGTCGACCGAAGGTTGCAGCTGCCAATAAAAAGCTCACCTGCCCCACTTGCACCTCAGACCGAGATCGAAAAGGTCGCTGAAGATGCCTGTGAGAGTGGTGGAGAGCTCGACGCCTTCGCAAGACTCCGGTTAGATTTTACTTTCCGGGAGCTTCCTCCTTTTTCTTGCTTTCGATACTAGATATTTCTAGGCCTTTCTTAGATCGATCGTCTGCTAGGGTTAGATCTTCTGATGTCGATTTTAGGATTATATTTGCATTGAGACGAGACTTCTTAGGGCTTTCTTAACTTTAGCCCTTCTGATGTGTCTCGTAGGATTGTACTGCATTTTGACGAGTTTGTTTGTGGTGGTCGATGTCTCATTGTCAGTTAAGTTTTCTCACAGTTATGACAGAAATATGATGAGTGGAATTATAAGGTTGTAGTTGTATTGCAACCGACCATCTTTTGCCCGGGAATTTGAAGAGTTGTTCTATATTAGGACATCGAGACTTCCATTTTGCAGCTTCAGGCCGATGCTGTTATCTTTACATCCATGTTTCTGTGCTTGTGGGAGTTCGAATTTAGATTATCTTTGTTGATTTATTAGGTACATAAGTTCGCAGATCATGGTGTGCCTGCAAGGAAGAAAGTTGCTGGAACCTTAAGTAGTGTTCTTTTAATATAACCGCTTCTTTTATTAGCAATTACTTTTAGATTTTATGGACTTCTAAATACCTAATCTGTAAAATTACAGTAGTAAACTGTTCAAATGTACAATAGTAATTCTGCATTGATTCAGCAGATTGATTAAATCATTTTGTTCATGCTTAACATGTCTTTACAGTTTGTATCTTTTCAAATTATATGTACAATTAGCTATATGGTTATTTGTTCAGAATTTGACGATGATTAGCTTATAAGCTATGGTCTATATATTTTCATAATTTCTGACTTGAAAGAGATATGTGTTATTTTTTGGTTGATATCAGCTATGAAGTTTGTGTTTTGCTTGCTGAATTTAGTGGGATTCAGATTAATGTGATAGCCGATTATGGACCTAAGCTTCTTATTTGTCATCTCTGATTCGGTTGTAAATATGACTTCTGGTACATTATCCATTGATTTTGAACATGGAATGACAACATGCTGAAGAAGCACTTGGAGGGACCCATTATAGTTTGAATAAATAACAGACAATTGCCTTCATGTCTATCGTGATTGACGTAAGAGGAGCTGGAAAAGATGGGTAGCTAACGTAGATTAAGCATAGGTTTGATCATGGACTACTATGGAAGTCGTCAGTGGTGATATTTTGGAATACATTAGATTCCTAGTATTGCAAGTTGAAATCCCATTTTGATATTGACTCAATGTTTTGAGTTTTTAGATCTCTTAATTTGAGTTTAACATGAAGCTGATAATTTAAATCGAAAAATAATTATAACAATTTATCCACTTCATACAATTGCAAGCATGCACTAAATGCCACCAATTTTGGCACTGATTTTCAACCTGTTCATGTGATGCAAATTTTTTGGGTTGATTTCATTGTTCAGTATGAATCACATGTAGTCTCTCGTTTCTCATTCTTTTGCAGAACGAAAAAATGATGGTAGGGTATTAGGACAATGTTTCTTTGCTTGTATATATCTTGAAATGCGATTTTGTTAGAATGAAGTTTCGAGCTTCCTTATATTGATAAGGAGGTTGCATTGTCTGTTTAGCATTTCCTTTACATTGATAAACACATGAACACTGTGCTTTCATACTGATGCGTGTTTGGTTTTGCATGTGGATCTTATTATATTGGATGATGCCACTTATTTGAGCTGATTTTTGGTTAGCCACTCTTAGATGACGTGCATATTGTTGCTTGCAATCTTCATGGCATGTGAACAAATTTCTGCTATAATGATATTTAAAGCTAATTTGGCACCATATTGAAGAATAAAAACATGTACAGGACTAGAATCAAGAACTGGACGTCCTCCACCTCCTTCTTGTTCACTTTTAAGTGCTGGGAGGGTGAGTACTTTAGTTCTGTAAAATTTCTGTTACGGGTAGATGTTTCATCAAACTTGTTGGTATTTCAGTTATCTGTGATGCAAGGGGATCTTTGTTTTCACATGTTAGAGTTATTATCTTGTTTCTTTAGATATTTACCTCCAAATTTTTACTGTAATACTTGTATAATGCTACTTGGCATCCTTTGGAGAAGATTGATAGAAGAGACATTCTCTTTATAAAATATGTGCTTGCCTGTTTTCTTCACTTGTCATGGGAACATTGGCAGATGCTTTGTGCTGCTTATTTGACAAACAGCTTATATGTGGATCCATATAGTGATGGATTTTATTATCTTGTCCCAATTTCTCCCTTTCACCACTTCATAATTGTCACGACCTGGTTTTATAGGATAATTAATCCATTAATTTTGTTGAGTCTGAACAACGGGTCCAAAATACTTAAGTCAAAGTTTATTATAATATGAGACCCTTATTAGTTAATCTTAATCTTTTGCTCACTTCCAATATGGGACTAATCGGGATGTTCTAATCTCCCCGATTGGCTTGATGTCCTCGTCATTAATCAGATCCTGGTGCATGTGAGGTTTAGCCAAGTAGTGGCTCCATGCAATGACATGCCCTCTGGTCTCGTCCACGGGTAGCTCTTTCCTATTTGAGCCTCTCATAATGCCCTAATACTTGGTTTTGATATCAATTATCACGATCCAACCTATTAACCTCATTGATCCTGAACTACTGATTTAATATGCTTAATAATCTCAAGTTTACAGTGGTACATCAATCATACCTTTGTGGTCAATCCTAGTCTTTTACCTACTTCCAATGTGGGACTAATCGGAGTGTCAGGGTAATAGGTCAAACATGTATACGATTCTTCATCATATGAATTTGTGTAAATAACCACCCGCAGAGAATATTATTTAAGAACTCTCTTCAATTCAGAGTAAGTGTTGTTATGACTGGAGTCCCTGTTTGTGATGGAGCATCTTGTTAAACTCAAAATGAAGAGTTCAGACCTTTTCCATAGCTGTAGTTCATATGCATTAATTCAGCTTATGCAATGTAATGCTTGCAATGGTAGTTTAATGTCATATACTAGTGTTAATGTAGAAAATACCATGGCTTTAAAGGAGAAAGCAGCTGGAGTACATAACCAGCACAAAAAAGCTTGCTGGTAAGTTAGACTGTTCTGATGATGGGGTCACCAGATGTACAAGAATGAGTTTACCAGATCTAAAGATCATGGACCAGTAAAGTTGCCAATATTTGAGATCATTATATTCACACATGGTTAGGTCTCACCCAAGGACAAGCCTTCCCAGGAAGTCCTTGCTGGGATTTTATTGATCATCTGATGTTGGATATTTAATATCTCTATAAAGGAGGTCTATGTATCAATACACTCATCTCAAACAAATATAACCTATTATAATTGACTATTGCATCTGTTGCATCATACAGCGGAAGTGGCTACTATAATATAGAAAGCAAATGCTGTCAACTTGAGTACTCTCTTTAGTTCTTCCTACTGTATTTATCTATGTGGGGGGTGGTTTCATGATAGAAGAGTCCATAGTGAATTTTTATTGTAGCAAATTACTGGATTAAAATATAATTCATTGTCATTGTTAATTCACTCGTTTGGTTGCAATTTGTCTTTGGGATCATGAATTGGATCGACTTGCCTTTTGCCCTCTTTATAAGTTTGAGGGCAGGGTTTGTCTGTAGATTTTTGTCTTAGAACTCCTTTATGCAGATGTTTGTGTCCCCAAGTATATGATACTCTTGCGGTGAGCACTCTGTCACAAAATAAAGAAAGAGTCTATTAGTATTATGTATTAGAGTAAATGTTATTAAATAATGTAAGTCAATCAAAGAAAATAAATATTGAAAGGTCTTATCATAAACTAACAAAATTTTTTATGGAAAAAAAGAAAACCATTTGAAATAGTTGGTGCAGTTAGTCTTACATTTTATTATACTGGTCAGTTTTCTAGGTTACCATGAAGGATAATAGGTAAGAAGCATCAGGATGCTCTATATTTCAGGATATGCTTCCAAGGATCATGCTGGTAACTGTATTGTCCAACGAATTATGCTTTGAAGGTTTCCAAATGTTACTATTTATGGAGGTTTTTCCTTCTTACGAAGGCTAAAGATATATTTCGCATATTAAGAATATTGCATTATATATTATGCTATCTTTCACCTCAGTATACTTCCTAGAAATGGTTGCTGGCAAACTCGAGAACTCCTTTTGATTCTTCCTCTATTTGAAATTCAGCAGCTAGCTTCCATTGCAGGCTTTTTCCGGTACCCAGAATGTTTCAAGTTTGCAAAAAGATGAAGCGTGGAAGGTTAATGTGCGGATCCAAGGAATTGACCTTGATAATGGCTATTTATGTGGCACAATGGAAGCACTAAATGTTCCCTTAGCAGACACGCCTGTAAGAAGATTTACCAACCTTTATCTTTTCTGCTATTTACATGTATTTATTTAACATCTTTTATCACATGATTGTTACTTACCAACCAGAACGTTTTATCAACATAAAGCAGTCTTCACAAGCAAATATTTCTTTTGCAAATATTCAGGTAGTTACTTTTTGGGAGGGAGAACTAGTTGATGGAAATAATTTCACTTTTTTCACCAGGAAGTGGGAAGCAACGTATGGCCTTTTCTTTTTAGTTTATTTATCACGGATGCTGATTGATTATACTGTAAAGTATAATCAGCTTTACTTATATTCATTAACAAGCGAACCCTTTCCTCACTTTACAGGCCAGAGGATGATATTAGACATTGGTCCAAGTTCCCATCTTTTGCTCCACTTCTGGTAAGAGAACATTGATCCAAATTTGATCTATATGGTTCTGTCAAGTTGAAATTTCTGCTTCGTCAGAGTCAGGTTGAGGCTGATGGTGGTAAAAACATGGATCTGAGTAACTATCCGTACATATTTATGGTACCCTCTTACCTAATCCTTGTACTTGTTAAAATCATATCTTGACTTGCCATACATATTGCAGCGATGGAAGGAGCAGTATTTTGTTAATGTCGGAATAGACTGTGGCTTGACTATTGCGGGCTTCTACTATGTTTGCTTTTCTTGTAGTGATGGTTCCATCAATGGCTTTTATTACGATCCTAATAGCAGGTTGCATCCCGAATCTCCCTCATTTCTATCTGCATTATACATGATTATTCATTGCAAATCTGAAAATACATTATTTGATTCTAACAAACATTTGTTTGGTAAACTGCAGTCCTTTTCAGAAGCTCGAGTTGAAATGTATCCCCGGGGGTTGTTCAGGTTATACTTTCTCGTCGTATCAACTGCTATAAAAGTCTTATTTTCTAATAAAGATCTGTGGGTTGTGTAAAGATAGTTGGATGTCTTGGAAACCATGTTCTGATTACTTTAAAGCCTTCCCGAGCTGCTTAGATGGTTTAAACATGTTGAAATTTGGCCTTTTATTTGTCGGAGCTTAAGAGATAGTTGATCAAGCCAACCCTTTTTAAGCGATCTTCTCAACATAGAAAATCCTTATGTTTTCAGCTCTATTGACATCTTATTTATTATTGGTTAGGGCATTGTTGTACGCTCGATAAATTAAGTTTCTTTCATGTTCGGCGCACCTTGCATGTTGTATAGTATAATATAAATAAAAAAATCATGTTTTTCTCTTCTCACCGAAAGGTTGGATGGAGGTTGAATGCTCGCTCTCTCTATACTTGTGTGATCGGGACAAGTGAGTTAGTTCCTCACTCTTGCTGTTCTCGAGTGTAAGAACAGCCCATCTGTTTGTTTTGCCATGTTTAGCTAATGCGACAAATATTCCACTTGCAAACGAAATTTATCTTGATTGGAATAGGTAGATCTATGCCTTCACATGCTGTTGTTGTGAAGCATAAGAGCCGAAGACGCAAGAAATGATAACAATTATACAATATTTTTCGCTTGGGAGAGGGGGAAAGGGTTGTAAATGTAGCAGCCTCCAACCCGTTAAAATGTGTTCAAGTCGAAACATCTCCGACCATCTCCAAGTCGTCAGGCTGTCGTCGATGATTATTTAAAAAGCGTGGAGGCACAGAATGGTTCTTCTTTTGCTTTATTCTAGCAATGATATTGTGCTATCAGCAACCGTACATTCTTGAATCTAAGGGTGTACACATCACAAATCGACGTCTTCAGGTTTGTACAATCAAAGCTCGACTAGCGGAAACAATCCTCTCTCTCTCTCGTCTTGGCAGGCCGGTGAGACTGACAGACTACTACATTCTTTTTGGCGCCAAAATGCAACTATAACGTGGCCAGTGATACATACCGACTATACATTCTTACCACAAATTGTTGAAGGGCTCAAATGCTCATCATCTCAAAAAAAAAAGATAAAGAGGTACATGCCAAATTCAAGAGCTAAGCTAATCAGCACCTTCACCGAATGTATATTAACCTCCTTCGGTGTTCAAGATGAGATAGGCAAGTATTGGACATTAGAGAACAACCTTACTTCCAAAGACGGGCAAGCATAGCTGCTCGTAATATGCCACAAAAGTAGTTCCCTGTAGAGTTGCAAACCCTCCACCTCTCCTGAGCCTACAGGGAGTTGCACATAAATCTTGCTTAATATTACAAGCCTGAACACATAGAGAGGCACAAAGCTATCGTATCAACTTCTGCCCACCTGCAAAAGAAGGAAACCGAGTTTAATGTGTTTGTAGTTGTAACCTAATAACAGATGGCTCTGTTTGTCCAATTACTTGTTAATGATCAAATTAGAAGTTGATTGCTAATAAAGATATAGCTCAATGATTTCATGGAAAGAAACTTGAATGCATAATTTTGCATTGGTGGTGTATAATGGTACTGACAAAAAAGGTGGTCATGTTTTCCAAACATACATATTAGTTTTATCTTGTGTCGAAGTGGAAAAATATACAATAACTAAGCTAGCATTTGTCCTTCTACAACATTGTGCAATGATACATCGAAGATTAAATGAAAAGGATAAAACCAATCAACGTAGAAGCAAAAAAAAAAAAAAACACACAATCAAACAGGCAGAAAAATCCTTGTTCTGAATAATTTATAATGAACAATAAGTGTTTCGGATAGCCTTGCAATCTGGCCACATGCATGGCATCTTTTAACATGAACAAAGGAGAAACAACATGTATTTTATTGTTTTTCCCAAACAAGGTTCCTATTACAAGAAACAAAAATAGTTGAGACATTTAATTGACACATCACAGCTTCAGAAAAGTCTATGCATTTATTTATTTTTTTCTTTTTTTCTGTGGAGATTCTATCATAATCATTTTTTGTGCAACTACTGACTTCTTGACGACAATCTATCGATATGTTAAATAGTTAGATATGCAACTAATGACTTCATAATTAATTTGACAAAAAATGAGCAATCATGTTAAAATTGGCAAATGACTTTATGATAATTTAGATAGTGAATGTAAAGAAAATTTTATCATGACCAGAACAGCTGCGGGTGAGAAGGTTTCGTCATAATCAACACCTTACCTTTGACGATACCCCTTAGCCACTAGCCTTGCTTTATAGATCTCTACCTTTCCATCTACTCTGATCTTTTTCTTAAAGATCCACTTGCAACCGATGGGTACAATACCTTCGGGTGCATCAACTAGGTTCCAAATCTTATTGGAGTGCATCACTGACCTACCCATCTCATTATGAGGATATGCCCTAGAGACCGCAGCTTACCTTCTGAACAAAGTTTCAACTAAGCCGATAGTGTCTACACCATATGAGATATGAAAAGGGAAGAAGCTCAATCTTAAGGTTGTTAAGATTTAGGGCTGCCCTGCCCACGTTAAAAGACACAACCCTAATAAGTTAGAATCAAGGACAGAGCGGTACAAGTTCGTAGGATACCCAAAGGAAACTTGTGGGTATTATTTCCATCATCTCGAGGACCAAAAGGTCTTTGTAGCCAAGAGAGCAATGTTCCTTGAGAATGAACACATTCTTGGCGGAGATAGTGAGAGCATGATAGAGTTGAACGAGGTTGGAGAACCAAGCTCAAGCACCACTCTATAGCCCAAGTCTGTTCAGATACCTAACACACAAGTTTCAACTTTACGTAGGTCCGACAGAGGTTGTCAAATAAGGAATCTAGTGTATTATTAGGAGAAACCTTTCCTTGGCTCTCTTGAATCGAGACTTTTAGTCTTTCTATTAGAGGGTGCTCTCGTCAAACAAGGAATCTACCTATCAATGCCCTCATCACTGCTCTCATCACAATGAGAACGGGTGAGCCAATGAGGGTGCTAGTGGCGAGGGTCTTTATCGTCTTATTGTTGCCTTCACCACCCTAGTCACTACTCTTGTCGTAACAAGAAAGGGCGGGCCAATAAGGACATTAGCGCCTCTATTATACCCATTGCTCCCACTATGATAAGTAAGGGTGAGTAATGAGGAAGAGGAGAGGAGGCGCCACTCACAATAGGAACAAGGGATGGCGACAACGATCAATGACGATTAATGGAGGATCAAGGGTAATTTTATCAAATTGATGAAAAAAGGACGTCTCTAAGTAGAAACCAATTAGGTAATGTCATTCTGTCATAGAATTAGCTAGTTTAGCCTATGTCGTACAACACTCTTAAGTGTCCGTCTATAAAGGATCAACCTATCTGAAACCTCTTATGGTCTCTTAAAGACCTGCAAAAGAGAATACGAGTTAGTGGAAGCATTTAACTCAAGATCTCACAAGAAACTATTTTAGTAAACACTTGATAGGCAATGTAAATTACAAATATTGACTGTAAATTACAAATACGAAAGGCAATATGTCTACCCTGAACAAGAGATGGCACCGAGGCACATTCAATAACGGAGCTATCAATTGGCGCTTTCCAGGGTTTAAAATGTAAGAAATCCAAAGAACATGAACATAATATAATAAAGCATATGATTTTTCTTACATGTAACATGCGGCTTCTGAGTTATCAAATAAGAAGTAATATGACACAGAATGATAAACAGGTAAATATTTCAGATGGTAACCGAGTAAATAGAACTAAGCCTGCTGACCAACCACTTAAGATAGATGCTAAATTAAAATCAGTCCCTTGCAAGATTCTGGAGCAAGCATGCACCACCAAATAGACAATATAGTTACAAGGAGTGATGAAGCAGCAGCATTGCCGATAACTCTCTCAGTGTGTTTCTGTGTAAATAATTCTGATATATAATATTATACTGAAGAGGTTTATTATTACTGAAAATGCTACATATAACTCAACATGCAGGTTCCACACAAAGCACTATAAGCTCAAAACTAATACGAACATTAAAAAAGTTAATACAGAAAACATGTGCATTTTTGCAGCGATTATAATAGAAAAAAATCATAAGAAAACACATAACAACAATGAATATAAGATAAAGAAATTAATTACAGAATGTCTCCTAGTAAAAGCACCAATCAAGTGAATACTGACTGTTTTTCATGTTTCACACCAAGATAGCCAAGATATATCAGTATACATCCATAAATAGGTGTCGAATTATACTGCATAATAAGCTTATCATGGAGGCCAAAATTATAAAACAGCATTAAAGTTGTTGCCGATGAAATCGAAAGTTGGTTTAGTTGTTGCTTTATACCGTATCAAAGAAAAAATTCACCTGACCTAAGTTCAGGATTTCAAGACCATCACAGCTTGAGGAATGTCTAAAGCAACAGCTAAGACAACACTATCTCCGTGCAAGCATTTTATCCAGAATTAGGCAAACTACATAGATCTCTGTGCTTCCACAAAAACCTTCCTTGCAGGCTGCTTTAATTAACGAGTCAAAAACGAGAACGTCAAGGGAAATACTGTGCTTCTCAATTCCTTTAAATAGCTTTAGCAATTCCTTCAACCTTCTATTTCTAACCAGCCTGTGGATTAGACGGAGAAGAAGATCAGTTGAGAATCTGTATTCCAAGGATCTGATAAAGCAGTCAGTAGCCTCCAAAAACCTGCCTACTCTACAAAGACTATCGATCATCGTATTGTAGGTAATTCCATCTGGCGAAATGTTATTGGCACTCATAAAAGAGAACAGATGTTGAGCCTCATTTATCCTTCCATCTAGGTAAAACCAATGAAGTAGAGTATTATATGTCACCACGTTTGCAATAATTTCTCCACTATTCATCATACAGACTGCCATGTGAAGTTTTCCTCCATGGCAAAGGCTATGGATCACAATGTTGAAAGTCCTAATATTAGGAGTGATGCCCTTTTTTACCATGTCTGTAAAGAGCTTGATAACACCCACCCAGTGTCCTGCCTTACGGAGTCCGCTCATCACAACATTGTAATCAACAACACTGACATACCAATGCAGCTCAGAGCTCCTCTCTATCAAACATTTAGCCACCAAAACCTCCTTGGAATCACAGCAAAGGCAATTGAGAAGTATATTCAAAGTGAAAGCAGTAGGATATAATCCAATCCCCAACATAACTTCCAACTGATCAAATGCTTCTTTGGTCCTCCCACTCTTACAAAGTCCATCCATATATGTATTGTAAGTAATTTCATTAGGTTTCCAACCTCTGTGTACGCTTTCTGTCAGAATCTTCTCAACCTCATCAAAGTTGCCGGCTCTGCAAAGCGCTCCGATCAATATGTTATATGTCGCTGTGCTCGGAGTGCAACCAACATCCACCATGGTAGCCATCAAGCTTTTGGCTGGCTCAATTTTCCCTTCAAAGCAGTAACTTTGCACGATTGGTGTATAACTGTGGGTGGTGGGCGGACAATTCTCCTCGAGCATCCAGTCCAATACGCCCCATGCCTCCTCGATCCTCCCCGCCGAGCAAAGCCCCGTGATCAATGTCGAGTAGGTAGTCGAATCGGGACAAAGTCCACATTTCTTCATCATCGCGATGACCTCATATGCCAAGTCGAATTTTTTCGTGCAGCAGGCGTGCAGCTTCACCAGGATATTGTAGGAGAACAGATTAGGCTTGATTCCCGAGGAGATCATCTCCTCGAACGTTGTCTCGGCTTCCTCGTGGCGACCGGCCGTCAAGAGGGCGTTGATCACGGTGCTGTAGCAGAGAACGTTGGGTTGGCATTCCGACCGTTTCATTTCTCCGAACAGTCTGAGGACGTCATCCGCTGAACCGACCTCGGCGACGGCCTTCATCAGCTTGTTGTACGAAGCAGCGCGGAACCGGGCGGGTCGCGAGCCGACCTCCCGGACGGAAGCGCGGCCCGATCTGGAGAACCTGAGCACCGCCTCGGAGAACTTCACATGCAGTTCTTCGCCGGGGGTGGAGGGATCTTTGGAGACTCCGTCGCGAGAAGAGGAAACCTCTTCGGTTTCCTCTTTTTCGTCGTCTGTCCGGGAGGGAGAAGAACGCGCCCAATCGAAAGCTTCGCAGGCCACGGCGGACATAAGGCGACTTCCGTCGACGGCCTTGATAGGGCCGCCATGCATAAAGAGTGCTAGGGTTCTGAGGGCGGCGTCTGTTCTACCGATGGCTGCGGCGGTGGTAGCAGCGGCCCATTGTGGGCGGCGCTCGATGGACCCTAATTTGGTGGAGCTCCGGCTGGTCTTTTTGCACATACACCCCGCGATAGGATAAAATTGTAAAAATAGTGTGTATGACGTCGATGCCTTCGACCCTGTTACGAAGGTTTTCTCCACAGTCGTCCATCTCACTGTTCTCTAGATCTCATCAAATAACGAACGGTTGTGATTTAAAGGAGACGTGCATATATTTCTCTCTTCAATATGAATTTTTTAATGGATTGAAAAGTAAAAGAAGGAAAATCCAATCTATTTAACAAATAATTACAAACATTAATAGTGAGTGTGACGTGGTCGGCTCGGTGATTCGAATGTGACTCTACTCGATCCGGTCCGGTGCCAAATGTGTCTCGCAACCCAAATCGTTCCTTCGATCTCAACCGGGGAATAAAGATCAAACCCAGACCGCAAACTCGGTCCACGTTTCGTTCCAAGCCGGTCCCTGTCTCATAATTCCGCCACGTGGGGTGGGCCCCGGCCCGCACGTGAAGGTGCGCCCGAACCCACAGTTAATAAGATTGATTCCAAGGCTTTGCCGCAGTTAGTATTATATTATATTCCCGGACGGCCTCCAGTAGAGTAAAAAGTCCGGCCCAAAGCGAGATGTCTTAAGATTCGTGTAGTCACGTGATGGAGGAAAAGCGGCCTTCATCCTGACCGTCCAAACTCCTACCAACGACCCCGGAGGACTAATAGGGAACGGCATGTATAAAGACACACGTGGAAATCGGCCACCGACACGCGGTCGATGAGTCTTCGAACTAACAGGAAACCCGAATAATTTGCCTGATTCAATAATTGTGTAATATTTTTTCGATTTGTGAAAAAAAATAAGTAAACGAAGAAAAGTACACTTATTTTTAATTGATTCTGAGACACTCGTAATTATATAAATATTGTTTTTAATTGATTAAGAATTTGGATACTTTATTTGTTTTTTTTGGAAGAATCTATTTTAAATTCCACACCATCCTTTCCAAATATCCTTTTCCAGTTACCTTAATGTAGTAGTTTAACTTTCCATCCTCTTCTGGATCGCCAATGGATGCCAGAAGAGTAGCCCCCGTAGAGCACAGTCTCTCTCTCTCTTCTCTTCTCCTTCCCTGATTTGAGCTCACAGCTAATTGCAGTTTGCGGTGAAGCAGGAAACGGAGTAACGAACAACAACCACAGCTGCCTCAGAAATCCATCCAAAGTCAGACCAAAGCAAAGGTGAAGAGTATGAACAGAGAAGAACGCATGTTAATAGTCTATATATTTTGGCTGCTACTTTTCCTTTCTTCGATTCCTGTTGTTGCCAAGAGAAAGATCACAAGTGTATACATATTTATCCTACTACTCCTACTGCTACATGTCAAGGGTAATCTCGCCAGCAAATGAGCATGGTGACACAGCGGCGCATGATGTAGAACCTGCCTCGCTGCTCCTTGACTAGACGCACGCACCGGCTCGTAAACGACCTGGGCGTCGACCGCCGCCTCCGCCGCCGCCCTTCCCTTGCGCTGGTGGACCCCTTCAGGAAGGACCCTGCTCTCTCTGCCACCACCACCATTCTTCCTCTCTCCTTCGACAGCTTCCACTCCTCGTCCATGTACGCTTCTCAGATCTTGGATCCCCCTTCCCTCTCCTGTCTCTGTTCAATCTCAGACTGAGATATATATATATAGATAGCGAAGAAACAAGTTTAGGAGAGAGAGAGAGAGAGATTAGTAGGAAGAAGGACGAAGAGACTCAACGATGGAGGTACGATTTTATATACGAAACATGGTAATGGGTAGATATAGAGAGGAGAGACAAATGGTAAATTTTAGGATTATATATATGGGATGTCCTATATATTTATCCTTACAAAATTGTAATATAATACATTTATTTTTTCTAACAGAACTTTCTAAAATTAATATATATTTTTTAAAATCACAACTAATAGTTAAATCGAAGTTAGATAATGACTACATACACACTTGAGTTTTTAGATTTTACCAGCATACATACATATACATGTAAAACAAAAGGAAATTACGCAGGTATAACACATGATTCCGACTTGACTCATCTCTGGTCCCGTTCAAGACATGAAAGCGGCTCTTTTGGTGGCTGCCGCATGCGCTTCCGAGACCACATCAAATTGACCCCGCGGTTCAATCACGTGAGTCACGTCTGCAGTGACTCACCTCGACGCCAATTGCTCGTGTCAACTCCACTAGAATCTTGCCGTGAATGTCCCCATCACATCGATCGATCCCATGATCGAACGTAATCACAAATTTCAACATTACCACAGAATTCTACCATGTAATGTCAATTATAAATTAAATGTAACTTCTCCGAAAAGCAGGTCCACATCAATGGCCGTGTGACCTAACTTGTTGGACCTATGTGAAAGCACAGTACTAACATCATATGCTTTTGTTGAGATCAGTGATCGGCTAACCAAGTTACACGCTACTTGCAGGTGGTCCGGCAACCTTGGACGCATCCAATCTCATGAGGACCATAGCGAAGTCAAATCGACGCGTGGAAAAGAGATCCAGATCTTGAAACCATAAGGCTTGCGGCTCTTCGCTTTATCCGCTCTGGTTTCGTGGAGAGGGTGTGTGCGCTTCTATGAGTTGCCACAGTAAACGAAATAAAGGTACTACATTCGGGCGGACAATTCCACAAACAGCTTACGTGCAAGTACGGTGGTGACCGATTCCGACGCGGTCATACACACTCATAGAAGGCTCGCGCGGGGACCGACAGAATCCGACGAGCGAAGTCGCGGCTCGTGACCACGTTAACCACCGCCAGGACGATCGAAAGAGAGAGAGAGAGAGGCGATGCGAGGACGACGGTGGTGACGGTTGAGGCGTCACATCGGTCGTCGGTAGTACGCCGGGCACCGCCACGCCGACAGCAACAAGGACATCACGGGCGCCCCACGCAGACGCAGCCCAGCCGTGTGATGGACACCCGTTTTAACCTCGCCCCACCGTTTAATCACCCGCACCATGCTTGGGGTCCACACTAAATCAAGCATTAACTCCGCCACATTGTTTGATTACCACGTCATGCCTGGTATTAATCCCCCACGTTGATAAGACAGCAATTACAACCAAAATGTTCATGATAAAATAGATAACCTAATTTATCGATTATCAATGACACCTATTGTTGGTGTAAACAACTTTTTAACCGTGGCCTCGGGACCGACGCGGCTTGGTTCAGGTCCGGATGACGGGTCGCCGATTCCTTCGGGAGGGGGTTCCTTGCCAACGCGCCCGGAGAGAAACGTCTCGCCTTCGTCCCTGCACACAGGTCGGGACGGGAGAGCTCGACCCGACCCCTCCGACGATCAAGTCAGTGAATAATCGTAGGAGGGATGTTATCTATGTTGGTGTCCTCCTCCCCCTTTTCCGTTTAGAATGCAAGGGTGTTTATAGGGGAGTTCGGTGTTACCTGATGTGCCTGCCCGCAAGGGGTAGGATCGTACCTCCTGATGACGTCTGACATCGCTATTGGCGTAACGTGCGGAGTCGAACCTGAACAGTCGTTAATGAGCCTCGGTTGACGTTACGACCCGTGTCAGTCACACCGTGTCAACCTAACAGGGGCGCGGGGCGTCAGCAGGTGTCACGCAAGTCTTATTGTAATTATTACCCTCGTCACCTATTAATTTTAAACATATTATTTCCAATGAGAACCGGTTAAAGTAGGGTTTAGAAAAATCGGATGCATGACAGCACACAAAAGTTCATAGCCAAGCATTTGCCTCAATTCCAATCAGATTCGATCCATCAACATAAACATTACTATATACAATAAATTGATGTTACGGTATCCCATTTCACTGCTGATACAATAAATTGTGGAATCTGTCCTCATTGTTGAAGAACAGATCAACACAAAGAAACCACATGCAAATGCTGTCATTCTATACTGGAGGGCGTGTGATAACATTTGTCTCTACAATAGATGACAATATTAGCTGAAGATAGTGAAGTCAGTCAGATCTCTCCATTTTGAACTTTAAGATGCAAAGAAATCCATGCATGTATATGACACTGGGGTACGGAAACATGGAGAAATGATTGATTGTGAGAGATATTTTACTGCAATGCATGAACCAAGAAAATTAAGCTGATATGTGAGAGATACAGATTATGATGGGAGATAGGACAGGGAATAGTCGGAAGCATCCTTGGCAATCCATGCATGATGCATGATGGTAACCCACGTACACGCTCTCCACAGCCACCCTGCACTATACATGAGAGGAATTAGTATTTTACCTGAGGGAAAAAGAAAACTTGTTTCTCCTTGATTCTGCACAAAGTTGATGGTTCTGATGCATCTAAAAAGAGTCAGCATCTGCCGATGCAGCATCATCAAGATTCTCATATCTCCCATGTTCCAAGCCTCTTTTCTGAGCATCACACAGTACTCCCGGAACGAGGTGGAGTTCTCTGATAAGAGAGCTTGTGAATCTTCATGATGCTGCACCAGCAAACGGTGACTGGCGTTCGATATACATGAAATGTCGTGAAGCAAAATGCCACAAACATATATAGTTTGTACTAGGCTTATGAGGGAGACAACAGAAGACCCACTTCGCATGCGTTTCAGATACGAAAGAAGAGCTCAATAAAGAGATAAAACTAGGAATCCAGAGAGCTAGGAGGAGAAGAAGAGGTGGGGTATTTATAGACCAAGTTTTTCATGAGGGTGGGAGAGATGATCCCGATCATTGCATGTGCGAAGTGTATTCACAGAGAGAGACAGCGAACGGAGTGAAGCAAAGTGTTGTACCACAACATCAGCAACACTTACACATCGCAATCCATGGTGGCCAAGGGAACCAAGGTCTTTTACTCCTTCCTGACCTCGATCACTCGAGTAGAGAGAGAGAGACGGGTAAGGTAAGAGAACCTTCCCCTCGAGGAAGACGGAAGAGACTCCCCATTGTCGCGGATGATGGCGATTCAGGTTCCCAGGATCAGTTGCGTTCCCGACAAGCATTCTGACTAGGGAGGATTTGACATCCATGAACGCCAAAACAAGCCCAAGATTCGAGTTTTCTCTCCTTCACCGACTTCTTCTTAGATCTCATTACACTTGCATTTGAAGGGAGACGTGAAATTTCTGGCTCGAAATTGACCTGCTGCTCTCCTGACCAGAGATGTGTATGCCATTAGAATGCGGCCTTCATGGTTTGATCATTCCAATAATTAGGCACAGTTTCGTCAAGCTTACACCGTAGGTGGAGAGCACAAAAGAAAAGGAAAGACTTGAAGGCATGCAATCCAATTCCATCGATTGGACGGGCTCATTGGACTCGTCCGTCACGCCGTTCGGCCGTCCTCTTGTCCGTGTCCGTGAGTCGCGTCGAGCTCTCTTGGTTTGCGAAGCTTTGATGGCCACATCCTCGATGCCTCCGTCATCTTAGAATATCGTAACCCGATCTTACATCAGTGACAGAGACCCACGTGAGCAAGATCCAAATGCCCATCACAGCAAAACATGACTGGGCCCCTTGGTCACGGACGGTCCAAATATGATCAAGCTCTGTAAGGGAGAGATAGAGACGTTCCAGTTCCACCTGGCTTCGTGTAATGGGAAAGGCGTTACTGTTCCCTGTCTTGCCCGAGGCGGGGCATGGCCGGTGGTAGGATGAGTTGTACACACGCAGTTCGGTGCCTCGTGGGCGGCTGGAGACGCCCCCAAACGCGCGTGAAGCAACCGGACGAAACCGACAGCAGCCGGTTCACTCTGTTCCTCGTCCTTCCCTCCGGGGAAGGACTGAGGAGGATTCTTGTGGTCTGATCTCTCCTTCGTACGGCCACGTCGCCGACGACTCTCTCTCTCTCTCTCTCACGAAGTACTTGCTTCGAAACGAAAAGGTAGTAGCAATAAGCAACTGATGCATGTAGTTAGCCAGGGAGTAGGAGGCTGGTTAGGTGTGTGACCTTTCATTTGATTACGATACCCATCATCCTGCTTTGATGTGGCTGGTTGTTTGATGGATGCATGCAATCAGTTGTGTGCCTGTGCATTACAGCTACTATGTGTTCTGGGGATATGCATATGGGCATGCAATTCAAGAACATGTTACTATTATATACACAGGAGAATTCATATTGGTTGACCACTGCATCTGTGAAACAGCCAGCCGTGCCAGGTGGTTTAGGTCCACCTAAGGTAGTATGATTTGTCAGCTATCACATCTGACTCGAAGAGACATGGAAAGACTATCTGAGAGGTGAAAATTTAGCATCACAGTAAATGGAATTCTGGCTTTTGGAGATGGTAAATTTGTGGACTGATACTAGTAAAAGCCTGAGCGTTGCGTGATGGAAGATACATACAAGGTTACAGGTCCTCATCTCCCCTTGTCTCACTCTTTCCCACTTCCTTCAACACCATTACTGATGGAGGCAATTGAAGACGCAGAGGCCAATCGGTTTGACGATCTTGATCATTATCACCGGATCATGAGGGAGCTCCGAGAGGAGAAGAGTCTCCGGTTCATCTCACCCGAGGCTGCAGAATCCAAACGTGACGCACGACATGAATCAGTCGTCAACAAACTCATCGCGGCTGTCTACTCCGGCCCAACGATCGGCGACGTCGAAAGCGCGCTGACTTTGACGACCTTTCCGAATGGCGACGCCGGCGGCCGGTGCAGTTCTCGATCCACGTACGTTCTCGGAGAACTTCTTCTCTTTTAGAATGGCATGCATCCAGAATTGTTTTTGCTTCGGTGGGATCCTATTGAGCCCTCTTCTTGCAGAGTCTGTCCGCCAGACAAGGGCCAGGGCAAGATGGAGCACAAGTATACGTTGAGATTGAAGACCTGTAGAATTGGGTTTGCAGATGATGGCTACAAATGGAGGAAATATGGGCAAAAATCCATCAAAAACAGCCCCAACCCAAGGTCATTTCTCATGCCACCAGAGTTCTTCCCCCACAATCTACATTACTTCTTTCACTAGATGTTTTCTTGTTATGGTTCTTTAAGAGGGATTAACGCTTGGCTCTTCCAACCAAATCCAAGCGAAATTATATACTTTTGTGTTGGAGAACCTTTTTTCTGTCAACGAAAACATGACGCACTTCGTTTTCTTCCACCGGAAGATGAGTAGTTTTGTGTGAGACGGTGACGGGTATGTCCTTGTCACCTTAAAGTCCTCAAGCTTGCAAAACAACACAAGGCATCTTCTCGCTGATAACATCTGACAGCAGCCAAGAAGAAGAAAGCTCGATGCCTTTTTCTTCTGCTTCAGCACCGAGAAGAGCAAGTGACACCAGAACATCACTGAGACGTGCAGTCACCTGCCATGAATGAGGAGAAGGTGTATGAGCTGGGTGCACCCTGAGAAACAATTGTTCTCTCCACTGAGTCCTCTGTTGCCCTCTAAACCACTCGCTCCTTTCGGGGTAAAACTCATTAATAAGCTGCACCCACCAACCTGCTTGAATTGGAGTCCAGCTACTTCGAAGTACAGAGCACATATGTATTTCTGTACCCATCGACATTTCTTACCTTCGTCATGGAACACGGCAATAAGTTTCAGCAGTCGGGTGCTCCCACTCGGATGAAACCTCTCTTAGTTATGAAGATGTATGCGAATTAAGCATATAACACAGTGTAATTTGCTTGACCCGATGACAGGAGTTACTACAGATGCAGCAACCCGAGGTGCGGTGCCAAGAAGCAAGTTGAGAGATCCATGGAAGATCCAGAGATGCTCATCGTCACATACGAGGGTCTCCACCTCCACTGCACCTACTCACATCTCCTTCTCCCCCCACCACGGGAAGACTCCAAAGCCGGCTTTCATGCATCAAAGAAGCTCAAGCGTCGGTCCATGGCCGGAGCCCCGGACAACACAACGATCCAGCCTCGGCTGCCGTCGCAGCCTGCGGTGGACGGAACAGTGAGCCCGGTCTTGGAAGAGGATGCTTTGCGTAGCTCGGAAGGGCTGCTGGAAGACGTCGTGCCCTTGGTGGTGAGGAAGCCATGCATCTCGACCACCTCATCGTACGACCGTCGTCCTTCATCCTACTCCAACCCATCATGGACGAATAGCTCGTCTTGCTTCAATCTGGGCATTCTTTCTACCACATTGTGAGTGCACCGGCAGCATGTTACTAGCATTAGATGAGATGACAAAACCTCAAACAAGGGGAATGATGTTTGTAATCATCTTATCTAAAACTTGTACATCCGTGGCCGAAGTGGTAGAACACTGGGAGCAACCAAGGGAGAAGCGAACCAGTCAATCCAAACTCAAAACTCTACTCTTGCTATTGTTACCTAACATCCCACACCATTCTTTCCTTTCCTGTGGTATCAGTGAAATTAACGAGCAGTCAACGAGACGAGGTGCGATCCAATAAGTGTGCTAGGCAGGCGGCTCACTTGGGAGTGGGCCAGGCCGAATTGTTGGACAATCCCGGAGTCAACCTACTTCGACTCAAGGCAAGAGTGAGCTTAGATCATTGGATTGGCTTCCTAACTCGAGTATATGTAATTTATACATAACTACTAAAAGTTATATAGAATAAATAATTAAATAAAAATTAAAAATATTTAAAATATTTATTTTTATAATAATTATTAAATAATATTTAGACTTCATTATAGTTTATAATTAGCATATTAGAATAAATTTTATTGCTCTAATCACAGTACAAAGATAGTTAAATTGTAAGAAACCTAAAAATTAATAAATTAATAGGAGTAAAAATTTTAAAATTTTAATATTGATATTAAGAAAATATATATTGATACTTATTTATCATTTTATATTTGCTAAACAGATTGAGATTATTATTCCTAAAGTTACTAGAAGAATTAATAAGAGTGAATAATAAAATATCATTGATAAACTCTTATATAATGTTGATATCATCGTTAATAATCTTATAGAACAACCACAATCAGTAATCTTAATGAATGATTCTTTTCGCATTTTCGTTGTTGGGTTTACTGATGACACCAAATTAGAAAAAGGGGTACTCCAACGAGAAATTGGTACCCATATTATTCAAAAAGTAGTAGTGGCAAAAATGAAGAAGAAAATGATATCGTGGAGAGCATAACAGTTAAACTCATCCAATCCTCGAGAACATAAAGTCTCCAGTGGAGGACGCCATTTAGACACTGAAAAGATGAGCAACAAGAAGAGTATCTGTACACAACAGATGAAGATGAAGATGAAGATGACACAGATAGATTGCTTGCTAAGTGCAACACATTGCCTAGTGTTCTACTCTTTTCATCTCATCTACCCTTGGTAGCTAATGCTCCTAAGCGTTGAGATGGGAAGCTGCAGGCCTTGGACGAGCAACCTTTCCGTCCCCAACATCCACCGAAATTTTCCGGCGAGGCATATTATGTGCACGGTCACTGCCCCTGTGGCCGCTTGACTTCAGTTCAGTCTTAGGGGTTCTCTCCATGTCTGTAGCATCCTGAAGCTGTTCTAATGCGATCACCACTTGATCCATGGATGGCCTGCGCTTTGCTTGCATGGACAGGCACTGCAGTGCGAGACCCGCTGTTCTCTGCGCTCCTGCCACCGAGTACTGCCCTTGCAATCTGGAATCCATGATGCGGATGACCCTTCGCTTGCTTGCGAGATAAGGCTTTGCCCACTCAACCAGATTGTGTTCTTCGGAGGGCCGGTTCTTGTCGATCGCACGCTGACCGGTCAACAATTCAACAAGAACAACTCCAAAGCTATAAACATCGCTCTTAGCAGTCAAATGACCTGCCAAAAGTAATAGTTCATTCACGACAACTATAGATGTAAAACAACTATAGAGGACGCTCTCTGAATGCGTTGACCAGTTAGGTGAGAAGCAAAATCTTTATTGGTCATGGAAGAGAAGCATTACCGGTGGAAAGGTACTCGGGCGCAGCATATCCGTATGTCCCCATGACCCTCGTCGAGACATGGCTTTTGCTACCGCTGGGACCATCTTTTGCCAGCCCAAAATCTGATAGCTTTGCATTGTAGTTCTGTATCCACGGAAGAAAGATCGATTCTCTGATCGAATGAATGGCCATCTCACTGAGAAGAAGGCGTTCGACTACATACCGAATCGAGGAGCACATTGGAGGTCTTGAAATCACGGTATATGACCTTTGCCTTGTCACTATGCAGAAAAGCGAGTCCTCTTCCGGCTCCCAGAGCAATCTTCATCCGTAGACTCCAAGAGAGTGGACGATAGTATGGGCTCCCTGCATCACCCACAAACTGAGACCCATCGAAGCAAATAGGATGAGTGACAGTGAAGAATGGCACAAACCACCTACTCCTGAAGAGATGATTCTCCAAGCTTCCTCGAGGCATAAACTCATACACAAGAAGCCTCTGTTCGTCCTCCAGGCAGTACCCGATGAGCTTTACGAGGTTAGGGTGAGATAGCTGAGTCAGGTAATTCACCTCTGTCTACAAGATTTAAAGAAGCTGCTCTTAAGCTACAGAACGCAAAAACTCATCGATACTTTTCGGGATGCAGCACTCACCATCCACTCCCTGTGGCCCTGGAAACTTTCCGGGTTGAGCTTCTTCACGGCGATTATTAATCCGGTCCCCGGCTTGGCTGCTGCAAACGTGTGCTCGTCGATCCATCCTTTGAAGACCGCACCGAAGCCGCCCTCTCCCAACAAACTGTCCGGCCGGAAGTTCCTGGTGGCAGTTCTGAGTTCACTGAAGGTGAAGCTCTTGGGCTTGGACGATGACAGGATCTCGCCCTCGCTCCCTGGGGTCAGAGGCACAGAGGAAGCAGACACCCTTCTGCTGGAAGCACTCAACACAGTTCCCTTCTTGCTGCCATGTTTAGAGTTCCTTCCTACGATCCCAATTCAATGTCTTCAAGTAAATAAGATGTGTTGTCATCAAAGCCCACCAAATGAACAGAAAACTCTCAATTTTCCAACATTAGAAAGCCAAAGAACCCAAAATCCTATTGAAAGCATCAAAAGCTTCAAGATGACACTTTTAGTACCTGAGGCGAAGACGACGTGCGAGGGACTGTCCGTTTTGACCTCTGCAACCCAGCAATTCCCCATGGACGAACAGGAACCACCTTCCTTTCCCTCCCACTCTTCAAATCAGCATCCCAGGAAGCAGCGTTTCAAGAACAACAGGACTCGAATGCGAGCTCAGAAGCGGTTCAGCGTACCACGAGCAGCTCGCTTGTTGCCCAACTCCGAACGAAAGCTCTGGATCGGAGAGGGGTCACACGAGAAGGGAGAAGAGGGTGTGAAAGGTGGCTCCTTTTAATATCACGAAGGTTGACTTCGTTCAGCAGAGAAGACAGGACTTGCCAAATATATAATTCTATAATTATATAAGTATAAAAATGATAATTATATTACTATTATGTAATTTTTTTTAATATCAGAATAAAATCAAATAACGACATTTTAACATCATGCATACCATTTGAAGGAAACATTATATAAAAATAAATAAACACATCTTATATATATATATTTTATAAAATCAATATAAACAATGGAATAGATATTAAAATTTTTATCATAATTAAATTTTTTTTTCTATTATCTGATAATCTTAATTAGATTCTAATTAGATCTATAATATATCTAATCAAATAGATAGGACAACACAATCTAATATTCTCGTTGCATTACTTGATAAGATATAAAAAAAATTAAAATCATAATAAATAAATTTTAAAAAAATATTTGAAAATATTTTTATCTAATTAGATTCTAAAATTTGAAAA